GGTGGGGTCGGGGGCGGGGGCATCAGTGGGGCGGTCAGTTTGGGATTGGTGGCGGCCACGAATACTAAAACCTCGAGCGGATGCTTAAATGGAAGGCGGCCTATTTCTCGTTCGTGGGAGTTCTATTCGTATTCCTTTGCAGAAAGCTGGGTGGTTGAGGCGCCGGCGGCGGAAGTGATGTTTTATGTGAAGCGGTTTGTAGTGCAGTTCTAACTGCCATCTCGATTATGCAGATAGTTCCCTTTGCGAACATTTGCTTTTCGTGAAATATATTTTTCCATAAGACACATGTAAAAATGTTTCTCCTTTAACTAGTCATATCTCCCCGCTGCCTGCGACCACGCACATTTCATAAAATGTCCTTAACAAGCGATCTGCATTAGTGAATTTGATCTGAAGTATAATAAGAATTGAATGGCGGTGGCAATTACTACAAATTCAATATCTTCCTGTGACACAACGCAGTCATATTACGTAGTTAAAAAAATAACTCTCAGAACGTCTTATCTTGCAAAGGGATTCATTTGTATTTCAAATGACATATTTTTATGAGATAATCCAGTGTATTCAAAAATTTTAGAAATTTTTACTCCATAAAAAATTTCAAACGTTTTACTCCATTATTCAAAAATATTATAATAAAGCATTCCTTAACTGATTTGTGCACTAGAAGACATTCTTGATTTACTTGGACAACTTTTTTCATGTATCAAAATATCGAATAAATAGAAACTCTTTTATATTACTGATAGATCGCGATATGGGATAAGAAAATCATTGTTTCTCTTTCGAAACATACTCCTGATTAATATATATTTTAAATCTAAAACGACATTGCTTAACATTTGAAACATGACTCTCGTACAACAATACTGTTAAATTTTTTGTACTCTAAATGACGCACAAATTTCAGTCAACTGTATAAACACAAAATGACATTTTACCACTTTAATAAGTTATCTTAAAGATTGAGGAATAATACTGAGTAACAAAACGTGTTTTTCATACTTTTAAAACATGCGCTAAATAAAAGTAACGCAAGTGATCAGTGCAAGATAGTCACAAGACACAATTTTAAGTTTTTTGAAATAGGTATATCTATTTGTTCTCTGAGTAACCTTCTTCCCATTCAGTATTTTAGTTTTTTATCTTCAGGTGGTAGAATAAAATCCAACACTCATTGTTCTGCATTTATTTAAAGGTTTTCACCAGACATAATACTCTTACACTGGAATCGAGTAACCTGTGTCCGGCCATCTGTTCGTCCCTCCATCCATCCATGCGCCCGCCACCGACGTTTAGACCACTTCCAGTTCATCAATCGAGACAAATGAATGTTATGAGAGGCGTCGGTCTCCTGTTGAGGGAACATTTCATTTTTTCCACATCCAACCAGAAAATTCCAATGAATATCTCTAAAAACGTGTTTTTGTTTTTTAAGAAACTGAAACGCGTTTTGAGATAATTAGTAGTTCGTTCTATTCTTTTTAACCCGACAAATCGATTATCGTACATTGTTAGCCGATTCTCTGCTGGAAATTTTGGAAGAAATTTATAAAAAACACGAGTTTTCAGATTACATCTACGATTACAATGAGCACACACTGTGATAATTACTATGCTCTTGACGGTATTTACGTGAATCGTTTCGACTTGATTCACCAGACTGACGATAATTAAATCTAATTTTGTAAGAATAAAAGCATTTTAATAGATACCTTTTCGTGTAAGCTTATATGCGGGAAATAAACGAGCCGTGCAAGTACAAAATGTTAAAAACTCCATTTTTATAATGAATTTGCAAAGCCTAAATAAATAAAACTCTTCAGCATGAAAAAATCCCCCACGATAAATGAGTTAACTCAACCCCGTGACTTGCCATTATCTCGCACTGACCCTCCGAGTGTCAAACAATGAGAATTTCACGTTCACGCGGAAGGCAGCGGACTGCGCGCGCGCCCGTGTGAGTGGAGCACTGAGGCTCCGGCCACGTACCCGCATCATGTTGAGAGCCTCGGGGGAGTCGATGAGCACGCAGTGGAGCACATCCAGCATGCCCGAGCCCTCGCCGCTCGCCTGCGAGCCCAGCCGCGAGAACAGCCAGTTGAGCCGGTTCGAGTTGGCGAACTGCGCGCAATTGGTGTGGTTGCCCTTGATGATGGCGGCTGAAACACGAAAAGCACTCGTTCGTCTTTCGCTCAAAGAGGTGTTTGTTGATTTGGAGCAACAAAATTAACAGCTCTAGACGATGTTTGCTGGGGAAGAAAGTGTCGTATTGCTCAGAAACAAAGCCAGGGACAATATCAGCATTTTCTCTCTGGACAAGAAGAAAGAATCGAGACGAGAGTTATTCACCATATTTTACAATTATTAGTAAAATGGCATCAATATTAAAAATTGCACCAAACCAAATAATTTGACAAGTTATATGTATTTTACTTACTTATTTACAATATTTTGGGCTTTGCAGCTTAGTTTAGGCTGGAAAATTTCCTTTCATAGAGATTTCAGAATAATTATATATAATTATATATGCGTACAACATCATTTGACGGAGCTTATCCTTTTCTTGGGGATAATTCTAAGACATTTTTGGCACATTAAAGCATTCGGTATTTTATTGGTTTGAACGCCTGATTTTTATGAAATAAGTTTTTTTGTAAAATTGGTGTTACGGTAGAAAAGCCCTCACGTTATTAAAAGTATCCAATAGAGTAAAGAGCTTGAGATCTTTAAAGAGTCAACAGTTTATCTATTTTGAATATTTTTGTAAACATTGTGGTATTTTTGTTAATCATTGATGCTGCAGTAATAATAATTGAAGTGGAAGTTAAAATTATAGTTGAAAGGAAGAAAAACGATTGTTATAAAAATTAGTTGATTCACTCTTTACCAAATAAAAATTAGTTGATTCACTTTTTTCGCAGAAAGGGATTTTGTCCCAATCCTGATTATTCCCACCTAAAATGTGACGACAGCATAGAGGTATACCATTTATATCAAACATCACCTGAACTCAAGTATATTTTTGTTTCCCGAGTAAAATTTTCTGAAATCGAATGAATGGTTCATATAACAAATATCGCATTTCTTGGTAGGGTAGCTTTTGAATTTATATTTTGAAGCCATGTAAAGATCACAAATGTGAACCCAATTTACTCTTTTTTGTTTACAAATGAAAAGAAATGGTGACGTTTTTGACAAATGCAAGATAAGTTTCGCTTTCACATTTATTTTTTCATTTTCGTTAGTATAACTTTCATGTTTGATTTGTAAATAGTAATCAAATTAAGGCAATTTTTCAGATTTTATTTCACTTTAAAATTAGGCCTTCATTAAATTTATCTCCGAAATTACAATGAGAATACACTAATGAGGGACTATAACTCTGAATTAAAAGTTACATGTTTACCATGAATATAAAATATATCTGAATAGGGATATACATTGTATTGCGTTCAGAGTCAATCAAGATGCAGCCGTCCACGAACCGCGAGGCCGCGCCCCTCTGCTGCTGTGAGGAAAGAAGTGTCCTAGTTATCGACCCTTCCGCACCGTCGTGTCTTTCATTGTGTCTTTGAGGGAGGAGTCATTTGACGCTGCGCTTTGCGGCCGCGCGACCGATTCGCAAAGGAGAAAAGGTTATCCACAAACACCGCGCGTGCATCGCCTGGGCCTCGGCTGCCCCTCCGGCGCTCTGGGCGGCGCTCTGGGCGGGCGCGCGTCGGAATTCGGCGCTGAAGAAGGCGAGCGAAACGACTACGGCTACGGCGCTGGCAGCTGTTCCGACTGCGCAATACACGTCTTCATCCGTTGCGGTGACTATTGTAAAACGTGACTTACTTGTTTTGAATTTTCGTACCACACACTAGTCCATTTGAGAGATTAAGTTTAGAGCACAATTCAATGTTCAATCTCGTCACAAAACTCACAATAATAAGCCCAATATTATTCTGTACAGAAATGTCTCATTCATACGCTATTGAATGTCTCGTGAAAGTAAATGACAGACAATATTACAACTAAGAAATAAAATATATGTTTTATTACATATATAATGTAATAAATAATATATTAATTAAATTCAATGCATTAAGTAGTTAGAGTTTTGAAAAGAGTTATTTACACTAATAAAGGCAATGGTAAATTTTATTACATTTTATTTAGATTTTATTATTCTAAAATTAAGGAAATTAATATTGTTAAATTGTAGCTCAATGTTATGTAGCATAAATTTAAACTAACAATTCTGCATTAAAAAATCCGGTTGTACAATTTTTGCAACGAAATTGATGAAAGACTTTCAAATGCTTATGACAGAAAAATACCGTATATTTATATATCCTAAATAAATAAATAAATAAATAAATAAATAAATAAATAAATAAATAAATAAATAAATAAATAAATAAATAATATAATATAATATAATTAATTAATTAGACATTAAGTGCCGAAACTCTTCCACCTGAAAACTTTCATAATGTAATACACGCGAGTCCAATTCAACAACCCCGTTTTAATAGAAAGTGAAGGGGACAGAACGTGGAAGGAGGGGGGGTGCACGCACCGAGCAGCTGGTACAGGTAGCCGGAGATGATGTCCCAGCTCTGGCCGGACTCGTCGCCCGCCAGCGCCACCAGGAAGCCCTGCGACATGATCACGTTGATCTTGTCGATGTTCTCCAGGATGAGGTTGAGGATGCCCTCCTCCTGGAAGAGGTCCTGCCGGTTGCGCAGCGCCCGCAGCCGGTTCTGCTTCTCCTCGTGTTCTGCGCAAAACAACGCTTGTTGAAGTTGGCTTCTGTAGGGCACTCGTTTACAGAAGAGCAGAAACTAGCATAGAGGAGTTACGCCAAGAAGGAACCACTTTGACAGATCGGGAAGCAACGTGATGCAGGCCGATGACATTGCAAGAGATAGTGACGAAGCCAGTAAACGTACGCATTGACAAAATAAGTGAGTGAATGAGCCCTGTGGACGTTCCCAGCAATGCCCAAGCAATAGCTGTCAAAGCGGCCCCTTCTTACAGTAATCTCTCTATACCACGTTGGCTGACTGATATCAAGGCAAACAGAAGCTCAATTTCAGAATTTGGAATTGAACTTCTTATGACATTATACGTAGCCGCTAAGAAGAGGCTTGTAAAAATTAATATCTGAAGAAGTGGATTCGCTGTTTGTCTAACGCCATCCGCAGAAGAGTAGGGTTGTGGAGGAGGGCACAAACTGGGCAAGGACAAGGGCGAGGGCGAATTGACATAATGAATGGTACAATTGAGAGGTGGCGGTGAATGGAACAAGAGGGGGGCTGGGATGCGATGCGGCTAGGAATGGAGTGGAGCGGGCACGGAGTACTGACAATGACGGAAATGGAGGCGGAGACGGACTCGGGTGGAGGCGGAGATGAGGTTGAGGTGGAGGCAAGGTCGAGACGAGGACGATAGCAGAGACGCGGGCGGGGTGGAACAGAGACGATTGTGATAAATAAATAACCGCGATTATTTCTGGTAGTAAAAACATGTGGGAAAACTGTTCGAATGGTAAACATTTAAATTAAATATATAGAATTTGGGGAAACGGAATACATCTTTCACTGATTTGTAGTTGTTGTTCACAAACGTTGACGTATTTTTCCATTTTAATGTACAGTTAATTGTAATATGAAGAAACATTCCCAGAACTGAATTAAAGATTTCAAGCCGTAGGCTTCCGCGGCCAGAGTCATGTGGGTGATCCCCGAATTAAAGATTTGTCTCACTAGAGGTTAAAATCGTTGTTTCTACTCAAGACAATGGAATAAGTTCTTCGAAGGCGAGACGAAACACGTAAGTCATACTATACGTCATACTGTAATTCTGCCATGAATTTTAAATGGGGATGATGTAGATATTTAATTTTAGATGACATTGCAGAGCATCGTTTGCGTAATATTTTCTTAAGGAGGTAACATTTACGTTCATGACGGCATTAAGACTAAACATGTTTCAGTTGCGATGATATGAACAAGCACGAACATATATTGAGGCATTATAGAAAACGAAGAAGCAATGGTACGCATATTCAAAGAAATTATATTTCAGAACATGAGAGTGTGATGAGCCGAAGTTTGAATGTGAGAAGTGGCTTGAAGATTCATGGAAACGCCGCTGCCATATGTAAAGAAAAGAAACTGTTGTGAAGATAGCCAGTAACTTTCGGGCACGACAATTGTAATAACTTGGATCAGAGACAACTTGGCCGGGATGTTTCTGGCGCAAGCGAGAATAATGAGGAGATGCATTCGCGCCGCACATGCAGTAATGTACAGACGTTTAGTTGTTTTAGAACGCCGTGAGGTTCGTTTGCGGAGTGAAAATGGCTCTCAAGGAGACAATAAATAAAGTCTCTTATGAAAAAGGTCATTTAAGCTTCTTGACTGTAGTTGTAATTGATAAATGCGCATCGAAAAATATTTTTATGGAATTAAGTTTTATAAAGGTCTTCATTATTTGCCAGAGATAGTGTTCTTCTTCTTCTGGTCAAAAGATGCAAAAGATGGAGAATTGCAAAATTTTCTGAGCGATTTTAGACTACAATTTAAAAAAAATTCTGTTGCATTTTTCGTAAAGCAGTGAACTAATACAATAAGACACGTAAATGAAGGTTTAGGTAATTTCCTCTGTTTGAGAAAGGAAAGTGTTAGGAACGATATTGCAGACCATAATTTCACACTTCAATTATTGTTTGATTTATTTTACAAACTCCACTTCCAATTGAAGTTGTTTACTAAACACACAATTTTACGCCCTTTAAAAATGACTATTTATGGTGACAATATTATAGCATGTATGAAAGAAGAAATTTTTTTTAGGTGTTAGGAAAAACACTATAACCTACAAAATAATTATTTGTGTCTATATAATTTTTTTATATTATTGCGTGAGTTTGAAAAGAGAAAATAGTAATTAATAGCATACCCATATCTTCGGCAGGTTGTGCAAAGTAGTTGATCAAGTCTTCCAGGCACATGACCATCTCGTTCAAGTTGACCGACATGAAGAAAAGAGAGGGCCGACGGTTCCTTTGCAACGACTCCAGCCCCCTGCAACAAAAGAGAACTCTTATTATTTTGTTCACGCATTTCGTTGTGATATCAATTAACGATCTTGTGGACCTGGCAGCAACAAAATATGATATATTTAACGAAATGGTAGTGGAACATAAATGTCTGTTACGACTCATAAGTTTTTTCTGAGCTTTCAATAAGGCAAAGAAAATACACCGTGTGATTTATTCATTACATTAGATTTCTCCAGAGATCACTGACAATTGTTTCTACTAAAAAGCATTCTCTATACGTTGCAGATAAAGTGAGTGATACTAAAATAATTCCGAAACATATTTTGTTTCATTTACTATTTTTATGTCCTCTCTCATTCAACATGAAAGGGACTATTGTTCAAAGGTTACTGAATTCTCTGTAGAAGTAACTCGAAATGTAACTGAATTAAGGTCACCGATTGAAAGTGTATTAAATATAAGTACATCATATAAATTTCAAGGATACTATACTATTATATGTTTAATGACACAAGCATAAACTACGCCTCACAGGTGGAGAGTTTCTGATGTTTTATTCATATATGATCTTGCTTATTCGAAGATGCCCACAGAATTATATCAAAGTAGGATTTCCTTAAAGTGGGATATGATGAAAAAAGTTTAAAATAATTTTAACAGTTTATATTTAAATATTCAATAAATTTTTCAGTCGAATTTGAAAATATACATTCGTTTTATTAACACTATCCCCATCAACACATGCTTTGTGGCATTGATAGCGTACACAAACATTGCAACTAAATGTAGGTGATGCATAGAGATTAATTAAGTGTACTAGATTTTACTTATAATAATATCTAATTTTATAAACGACTTAAGTTGTATTAGGCATATACGTGTCTGTTATGTCAATATCTCATTACTTCATTAAATATTTCGTAACTTTAAAGTTGTACATGTAAAATACGAACATTTCTCATGTAAAAATGTTGCTCTGGTTAATTTTTTGTAACGTAATTTTCTTGTGTCGGTTCGTAATAAATTCTATCATGGAACGAACACGACCGAACGGGATCGACGACATAAAATGTACAATTTCTCATCTTGTATGCAATATTTCATGCGGAGCGTTGGGGGCGGCGAAAACGTGTTTCCGTTCATTGGGAGACCGCAACATTAATGCTAATTGATTTTAGCATCAGTTCCGGGGGTAGTTAGAGGCTACTCCACTGTATTCATTACGAATTTCATGAACTGCCGAATGCTCGCAATACATTATTAATCAATATTTTTATCGGCAAAAACTAACTACAAGTACAACGAAATATAGAGCAATGAAATGATGAGAATACTGCAAAGTACGACCTATCTGACTGATATTATAGTCCCAGTTCACTTAAGATCGATATCTGGTATTTTCATTTCAAAAACATGTACGATCATGTAACGCAAAACGAGATTTTATTCTTCTCATTTTATTATTATTATTATTATTATTATTATTATTATTATTATTACTGTTGTTGTTGTTGTACAACACAACTCAAGACACTTAATAACTTTAATCCATTATTACTGAACACTTAGTAAGAAGCAAGAATCACGTGTGCAGCGTGGATTTTAAATTTCTACGTGGTTTTTATCATTTTGAGTGCACATCACCCTTAATATTTGCTTTATTTTTCATACATTATATGTGTTCAATTGGCAAGTGGCATTTAAGCGCTAAACATTTTAGCATTGGAATTGTGCCAAGCCAATATTCGCGAATTGTTTCGTAGTTGTTTCCTATCGTTGCGAAAACATCCGTACCAAGCGGCGCACTCAGCCCCAACTTCCCTTAACTGAGGCAGCCCGGCCCTCCGCCTGGCGGCGTTCGCTTTTAATAGACTGCGTTATCGCGTTCCCTCTCATTTCCTTATCTTGCGCACCCACCACGCCGCCGGCGCCCGCCCGCCCGCACGCACGCACCGCGCGTTGAATCAATCGGCGGCAACCAGCCGCTTCCGGCCACGGGTCGCACTTCCGGC